AGGGTGGTGACGACAGGTAGGTAGTGATAATTAAGGCATCATAGGTCACAGGTGAACATCTTACTCCCGTCCCACCTGACCTTTAGTGCCTGACCCCAGGACCTGACCACGCTTTATTGATGACCTCTCTCTCTCTCTCTCTCTCTCTCTCTCTCTCTCTCTCTCTCTCTCTCTCTCCTTTTACGGTATCATTGGAATCAGTCACGTGATCAAAGAGTCACTACGTCACGGGCACTGAAGACGTCATAGAGGGACATTATACACACACACACACACACTGATGACGTCATAAAGGGAGAGTAAAGTGACGTCATAATTAGACCGCCATGCACTGATGACGTCATAAACCTTTAAGCGTATTGATGACGTGATATTTAGTGTATTAAGAGGCTAGCTTAGGTTAGCTTAGCTTAGGTTTGGTTAGGTTAGGTTAGTGCTTCTTGGATCATTAGCTGAGACACTGATACGTAACTCCTCCTCACTTCAACATCTCAGAGGTCGAGTTTAATAAAAGACTCAATAATCCGATTATTTTTTAACTGGAGGGCCAGGGGAAGGGGAGGGAAGGGAGGGGGGGGAGGAGGAGAGGGAGGGGTAACGGGAAAGGTGAGGGAGGGGTGAGGGGGGGAATGGGCTCAGGAATGGTAATTATTCGTATTCAATATTAAGGGGCCTCACCTTCACTAGTACCCATTATGTCACAGCCTTCATGGGTAAGTTAGATTGTGGTAAATTATGAATTGGGACCTACGAGTATTTAGCACTGGTACCCATTAACACTAGCACCCATTAGACACTGGTACCCATTAGCACTGACACCCATTAGACACTGGTACCCATTAGACACTGGTACCCATTAGCACTGACACCCATTAGACACTAGCACCCATTAGACACTGGTACCCATTAGCACTGGTACACATTAGACACTGACACCCATTAGACACTGGTATACATTAGCACTGACACCCATTAGACACTAGCACCCATTAGACACTGACACCCATTAGCACTGACACCCATTAGCACTGACACCCATTAGCACTGACACCCATTAGCACTGACACTCATTAGCACTGACACCCAATAGCTACGGTACCCATTAGGAATAGGACTCATTAAAACTTAGGGCCCATTTGACCTTCAAATAATTCCTCTAGGTGACTGGGCCAAAGGTCATTATGTACATGAGGTCAAACTAGCTGCTGTGTGTGTGTGTGTGTGAAAGGTCAAATATAAAGTCAAAACGAAAATTCACAGAAAATGGAACTAGTCATTAAAACTGTCACACCATCATTCATACAGGTAAATTAACAGAAACAATAAATTCACGAATGTATAGATGAAACAACATGCGTCAAAATATAAACAAATGAACATCTAACCTCGCCAACAATCCTCTATGCAGGTGTGTAAGTGGCGCATTTGACTAATATTCTCGTTCCGATTAGTTAAAAAATCAGCTCTTTCCCGTGGACAATATCCTTTTCACAACGTCTCAGACAGCGCCATTATCTGTCGATCTAGTCTCGAACAGTCTTTAACAGCGAACGACGTCATAATCGTATTCAAGAGTGTAATCAGCTTAGCCCAGAACCGCCTCTAAGGGTGACACGCACGACACGATCCTACCCAGACGATTTTCTTTTGTTTATTTTCCGTTTAGAAGATTATTGTATCGCCTATATATGAGCTTCGTATTGTTCATTTTTCGTATAGTATTTAAGTGTTTTAAAGTATCCTCCTTTGGTAAGATTTTCGAGAATTTAAAATTTTGAGGTTTGTTTTAAACTAAAATTTATAATAAAAAGAGAAAACTCAATCTTCTTCCAAATGATTCGCTTTTGTTTTTATTTTCTGCTCCGGCGTTATTTCATCTATACCCAGCAACTATCTTCCTTTCCTCCTTAGTACCGAGCTATTTTAAGACATCATCAAAGAGAAATATTATATAGAACTGCTATTTAAAAAAGTCTATTGTAATAAAAAATAAAATAAAGTACAGTACTAAAAAAACGACACAGTTCACTCTACACACCCCGACCGACTTTCTTTTGTTTTTTTAATTCTTTGTGGGTGATCGTGTCGTCTATAGCCCGCCCTTTGTTTACAGACTGGAGTTGGAGGTCGATGAACTTAAGGGGAACATATGGAAGTCTCTCTCTCTCTCTCTCTCTCTCTCTCTCTCTCTCTCTCTCTCTCTCCTCACAACAATATATAAAAGGTCAGAAATGGATCTTTCATTGTTGTGTATAATGATAAAGTGGATAATGACTGTGTGGAGGGTGAAGGTAGTGTGAGAGAGAGAGAGAGAGAGGTTGAAGTTAAAGGAGAGAGACGGAGAGGGGAAATGAGAGGGGGGAGAGAGAGGGTGAGAGGCGAGAAGTGAGAGTGGCGTTGCATATGTAGCTTTCTGTAAGGCCTTGGGTGATAATATCTCTCTCTCTCTCTCTCTCTCTCTCTCTCTCTCTCTCTGTCTCTCTCTTTCATTCCTTCCTTCTCTCTTTATCTCTCTCTTTCTCTCTCTTTCATTTCTTCTCTCTCTCTTTCTCTCTCTTTCATTCCTTCTCTCTCTTACTCTTTATATATCTTTCTTTCTCATCCCTTCTCTCTCTCTTTCTCTCTTTCATTCCTTCCTTTTCTATTTCTCTCTTTCATTCCTTCTCTCTCTTTCTCTCTCTTTCATTCCTTCTCTCTCTCTTTCTCTCTTTCATTCCTTCTCTCTCTTTCTCTTTATATCTCTTTCTTTCTCATTCCTTATCTCTCTCTCTCTCTCTCTCTCTCTCTCTCTCTCTCTCTCTCTCTACACACACAAACACCATTCATCGTTTTACTTTCTCAACCCAAATTCATCCATTACTTTCTCTTCCACGTTTTCTTTTCGGTTCTTGGGAGAAACTTGTGCAATTGAGCACTAGAGAGAGTTTGGCGAAAGTGTGGGGAAAAGTTTGGTAAAAATACATGTGAAAGTGTAGGGGAATATTTGGTGAAAGTGTGGTAAGAGTGTAGTAGTGAAAGTGTGTAAAAATTAGAGTGGAAGTATTTAATTAGAAAGTATGATGGTAAAATATAGTGAAAGTATGTTTAAATATGAAAAAGTTTATTGATAGTAAAAAAAAACAATCAGTGAAAGTGTGGTATACAAATAGAGCGAAAATTATTGATAGTGAAAGGAAAGTAGTATGATGAAAGTCACAAAGAAAGTAACAAGCCTTCAGAAGGATAAAAGTACGGTGCCTGGTGAAAGTACCGCCGAAAATATGACCTAAACTCTCTAGAAAGTGTCGTAAAAAAACCGTGAGAATTACAGTAAAAATGTCGAGAAAGCGGAGAGAAACCATTGCATATACGTGGTGTGAAAAGTGAAACAAATGACTCTATCTCACTCTGGAAAAAGAGAGAGAGAGAGAGAGAGAGAGAGAGAGAGAGAGAGAGCCATCTACAGATAATAATGCAGTATGTTACCTCTATAAATAGCGACCTTGGCAACACACAAACACTGGCGCAGTCAGCAATTTTGTGCTAACTGTAGCTCTCATCCATCATCGTATACTCAAACGATAGTACACAAAAAATTAACCCTATTTTCGCTAGATGAGGAATATTTTTACTATTTTACGCGATATTATCAGATATATTACCCCATTATTGCTAGTTGAGGAATATTTTTACTATTTTACGCGATATTATCAGAAATATTACCCTATTATTGCTAGTTGAGGAATATTTTTACTATTTTCCGCGATATTATCAGATATATTACCCTATTATTGCTAGTTGAGGAATATTTTTACTATTTTCCGCGATATTATCAGAAATATTACCCTATTATTGCTAGTTGAGGAATATTTTTACTATTTTCCGCGATATTATCAGAAATATTACCCTATTTTAGCAGGAGAGAGAATACATTTTGCAATATTCCGTCTGTCTGAGTGAAGACTGAGAGTTTGTTTACATTATAGATGCCAGAACCAACAGAAAACAAAAGAGGATCGATGGCTAAAGAGTAAAGGGATTCTAAGTGTTTGTTATAGTGTTGGGTCCTCCTCTCCCCCTACTCTTCCTCCTCATCTTTTTCCTCATTCTCTTCCTCCCCTTCCTTCACCTCCTACTCGTCTTCCTCTTTTTCCTCCTCTTCCTCCCCCCCCCCTCTCTCTTCTTCCTGCTGGCCCGACACACGCCATCTATTAAGACAATTGAAACCTATTTAACGTCAACTAGATACAGTGTCTGGTGTCAGGATACAATAAGGAGGTTAATCCACTTATCACGCTATCAAAGTCAACTATGTGGGGAGTGAGATGTTGGGGAGGAGGAGGAGGGGGTGAGGAGGAGGGGAAGGGTGAGAGTGTGGGGGAGGAGGAGGAGGAGGAGAGGGGGTTAAGGAGGAATAGGAAGTCATATATTAGTTTATATCTAAACTTTTTCATGTTTTAGCTTCGGAAATTATATTGAGAACTGTTATTATTATTATTATTATTATTATCATTATTTATTATTTATCATTATTATTATTATTATTATTATTATCATTATTACATTATTATTATTATTATTATTATTATTATCATTATTATTATTATTATTATTATTATTATTATCATTATTATTATCATTATTATTATTATTATTATTATTATTATTATCACATTATTATTATTATTATCATTATTATTATTATTATTATTATTATTATCATTATTATTATTATTATTATTATCATTATTATCATTATTATCAGCCAAGTACGTCACCCACGGAGCTCTCCTCACTAACGCAGCTTCTTTCTCCGTCTCCCAGGACAGGTGCAGGGGTTCCAAACAGGCACCTGGACCCCCCCGCCTACCAAGATGTCCTCACCCTCGGTCAGTGTCCTATCCATGGCATCCTTGGGTCCTTCGGGATTATCAGGACATCCCAAACTGACCCTGGACGGTGGAGGAGGGAGGAGGGACAGCGGAGGAAGCGATGGAGGAGGAGGAGGAGGAGGAGGGAGGAGGAGCGGCGGTGCAAATGAAGGTGGAGGAAGTGGTTCAACTGATGCTATGAATAGGTGAGTGATAGGAGGAGGAGGAGGAGGGAGGAGGAGGAGGAAGAGGAGGAGGAGGAGGAGGGAGGAGGAGGAGGAGGAGGAGGAGGAGGAGGAGGAGGAGGAGGAGGAGGAGGAGGAGGAGGAGGAGGAGGAGGAGGAGGAGGGAGGAGGAGGAGGAGGAGGAGGAGGAGGGAGGAGGAGGAGGAGGAGGAGGAGGAGGAGGAGGTATCCTCCCAACCACCCAATCATGTACCATAACCAATCACAACATCCCTACAACCCCAAATGACAACCTTCCCCAATCCCAACCAACCCAATCATATAACTTCCTCCAATCACAAACTTCCCCCAATCCCACCTAACCAATCACAGTCTTCTCCCAATCCAAACCAACCAATCACAGTCTTCTCCCAATCCCAACCCAACCAATCAGAGTGGCCACCATCGACGAGCCATTACAGGTATCACACTTCACATCACTCCTCCGTCACACACCTCAAGGCGATGGTATCACCAGGCAATTTCTTCACCGTGTCGAAGTTAATTATTGAAAGGTGTTGAGGCAGGTGTGGTCTTATTTTTTAGAGCAATATCGCGAGAGATAGGTACTGGTGGTTGGGGGGGTGGGGGGTGGGGGTGGGGGTTGGGGGTGGTGCGAGTAGTTGTGGAGTAGAAATAATAATAATAATAATAATAATAATAATAATAATAATAACACCTGAAAAGTAAACCGTTGTATCTAAAACACCTGTGACAAATGAATACTAATAGCATGTGTAGCACTTGTGTCCATGTAACACCTGTAACACGTGTCTGTGGTCCCCTACAGGAGTAGTGTGTACAGCAGCAGTAGTTACGCCGCCAGCAGAGGCTACCGACGACCTTCAGGAGGTGACGGCCAGCAGATACAACCCGTGGCCCCCCCAAGGTGAGGTCCTAACCCTCTCTCTCTCTCTCTCTCTCTCTCTCTCTCTCTTTCTCTCTCTCTTTAGCATCCACAAGACGTCACCCAAGCGAAACTTAATGATATATTCACCCGCTAAAACACACACACACACACACACACACACACAAACACACACACACACATACATAACTCCCAGCTCTCCCAGAACCCAGTCGCAGAGAGCCTTACATTGGGTGCTTGGGCAATTGGGCCCTTTCTCTTCCCCTCCCCCAGTTCTAGCGGGCCCCAGTCCTATTGAATCCACCTCTCTTTGTTTACGTTTGGTCAGGCACCTGGGACCACTGAATGTTGTCACTGGAGGAGAGATTGTGATTATTATTATTATTATTATTATTATTATTATTATTATTATTATTATTATTATTATTGGAAAAAAGAAGAGAGATAAACAGATAGATAGACACAGCCAAAGATAGATAGATAGATAGAACGATATATAGAACGGGATTTAAATGTCTTAACCCAATATTAAAACAGTTATTAAGTCATCACTAATTCACCTTCTACTTCTGTCCGTCACACAGATCTAAGGCCACGCCCACCTCCTCGTCCTTAGCGGCAGCAGGAGTCATGAAATCATCGTCGGAAATCTTCAGCTCATCGTCGTCTTTCACGCCATCGAAGGGCATCTTGAAATCGTCTTCGGGTATATTAAAAACGTCACAAGCTGGAGAACCTTTATCAAGATCTGCGTCAGGAGGAACACTGCCTTTTACTACCCGGGTCGTTAACTTTAGTAATACCGTCAGTAATATCGATGATCCTCTCCCTACTACTACTACTACTGCTACTACTACTACTACCCATGCTACTGTTCCTGCTGCCTCGACCACGCCACCTTCAGAGACGTCCTCCTCCACCGGTATGTCAGTCACGTCTTTGAGTAGTAGTTGTTCCTCTGCTTCTTCTTCGTCTTCTTCTGTGATGTCTAAGATAGTTGTAAGTCTTTCAGCCCCTGGTGGCTCGCCGGCACCTGTCACACCTGTAGCAGTAGACATCAGTAGCACTCTTCCTCCTCCTCCTACGTCTTCAGCTGTTCCTCCTCCTCCTCCTCCTCCTCCTTCATCTCTTCCTTCTCCTCCTCCACGCCATTCTCCACATTTTCCTCATCCACCACCTTCTTCTTCTTCTTCTTCTTTTTCTTCTTCGCCTTCTGCTGTACAGTCGTCAGGGTCTTCTTCATCAAGGGTCGTCTGCTCTGCCTCTACACCAGCGCCACCTGCTTCGTCGCCTCCACCAGTACCCCCACCCAGGACCAAACACCTACACCACTCACCCACCACCAAAGGTAAGTCCTCTACTCACTCACATACTCCCTCCATACACAAGAGACCAAATATATTAACAAAATAAATAAATTCCTCATTTCGTATCGTGACCAAAAGTTATTAGAATTTTTAAGAGGTAAATTGTTTAAAAAAAGAAAGTTTGATAAATATTTGAGGTTTTTTTTCTATATATGCGGATAGATTGGTGTAGATATGTCGAATTTACACACACACACACGCACACACACACACACACACACACACACACACACACACACACACACACACACAAAAAAACATCATTCAACTCTTCACTTATTTTCACTTACCCGCTGTTGTCGTTCATAGTAATACACCGTAACAAAATAAATTCATATATATTACTAAGAATATACACGTGGGATTTGTATATTGGATTTAAATGGGTAAATAGAGAGCTAAAATCTATAAATCCCTCCAATACACTGATATGATACCGTATTTACCCACAACCCGCCAAAATCTATGCACGCTTAGATATAAATAGAAGCCCGCATTGGTGAAGGTGCGGGATGACGTCACCCAAATGCGACGACCAATCACAGGCCAGGAGTTTTGAATCTTACCTGCAACGTCATCAACTTCGAGCCAATTAGACGCCGGGGGACTATTTCTTAACTGTGACATCATCAACTCTTAGCAAATCATAAAGCGAGGTCGATTCTTAACCAGTACGTCATCACTTGTGAGAACCAATGAGAGGGTGAAGGTACTATTTTCATGTCTTGACGTCATCAATACACGTCAATGTGTTTAGAGATTTAAAAGGTCGCTTCCATTCTGGCGGCGCTCTGTGTGTGTGTGTGTGTGTGTGTGTGTGTGTGTGTGTGTGTGTGTGTGTGTGTGTGTTATAATGATTGGGTAATAAATAAGCTGGTTGTGCTGGTTGTAATGGTGGTAGTATATTGTGGTTGTTGTGCTGGTAGTGGTGGTGGTGCTGCTGCTGATAGTGGTTGTGGTAATGGTGGTAAGATTGTGTTGGAGGTGGTACTGTTATTGTATAATCAAATTTAACCTAACTTAACCCATCCTAACCTAACCTAACCTAACGCAACTTAACCTAACCTAACCTGAACCGCCAAGACGCTGTTAACCTTCCATTCTCATGACTTTAACCACCATCAATAAATCAGTTATAACGATCTAACGATCACCTAACTGCTCCTTAACTACTGGTACATTAACAAATGAACCAATCATCGGCAAGTACACGAGACAAGGTAATGGAATTAACCAATCAGAAGACTCTTTAATTTTCATCCAATCATAATCAAGTAAAAAAGAACAAGATGGCGGCAGGAGGAAATTAGCCAATCATAGCACCCGTTCTTTCTCAACCAATCATCATCCACGACTCAGGACCGTGTAAGGATATTTGGCCAATGAGAAAACCAGGAGATTAATAAGATTCAGCCAATCAAGGGCGGTGTATATCCTCCTCCACTTGCCACCCAATCACCTTAACCAATCACCAAGGAGGCTAACCTAACCTAACCAATCACCAAGGAGGCTAACCTAACCTAACCTAACCTAACCTAACCTGACATCTATAAAGGAAGAATTCAATAGAGAAAGAGGAAAAGGAAGAAGGGAAAGGGAAGAGGAGAAAGGGAAGAGGAGAAAGGGAAGAGGAGGAGGAATTAGAAGAGAAGGACACATTTAATTTACTGATAAAAGAATAATAATAATGTATATATGTATGTATGTATGTATGTATGTATGTATGTATGTATGAATGAATGTAGACCAAAAGTAACACCAAAATGAACCATTAAAATGAAAGTGCAATATAAACTCATAATATAATTTGAACCCCAAAATTATACAAAATTATATATATTAATTCCATGAATTATTATTAATCCCATGAATTATATTACAGTAAATCCTCTAAAGTGTTATGTAATTATTTTTAGTTTCATCACAGAAAACTGGACAATTATTTATTTATTTATTTTTTTTTTGGGGGGGGTTCGTTGTTTTCTTTATTTTACTTGTTTTCGGTGTTTATTTTGTATAGTTTTCGCTGTTTTATCTGTTTTCGTTGTTTTTGCTGTTCTCGCTGTTCACCATTTTATAGTTTTTGTTGATTTTCACTGTTAAATTAGGTTACGTTGGATTAGATTACGTGAGGATAAGGTTAGATTAGGTTAGATTAGGTTAGGTTAGGTTAGATTAGGTTAGATTAGGTTAGGTTAGGTTAGATTAGATTAGGTTAGTATTTTATTTAATTTTAAACAATTAAAAACAAATTTAATTAATATCTAACTAACTTTAACTATAAAAACACATTAACATTTACAGTAAAATAAAAAATTAAATAAAAAAACCCGAGTATTTTTATTTTTTTTTCCAAGACTGTCCCCTAGAGGCTGGTGTCAAAGACGATAAGGTGTAATCACGGGCGTCACTCCCCCGCCAGCACCCACCGGGGGAGGACGGGTCGCTCTGGTGTCAATTTGGTGAAGATCGATATTGATACAACTCTTCTCTATGACTTTTTGCTTCTGTCTATCTATCTGTTTCTCTGTCTATTTATCTGTCTGTCTGTCTATTTATTTCTCATCTAAATAACAAATGTGTACATGTGAGGAAGGGTGTGTACGTATTACCAAGCCTGTGTACGTATGAGAAAGACCGCGTAAGTGTGAGGAAAGTTATGCACGTATTAGAAGAACCGTGTGCGTATTAGTAGGGCCGTGTACGTATTAGAAAGATACATGCGTGTTAGAAGGACCGTGTACGTATTATAAGAACCTTGTACGTGCTGGAGGTTCTGTGTACTTAAAAACACACACACACACACACACACACACACACACACGCACACACACACACACACACACACACACACACACACACACACACACACACACACACACACACACACACACACATACACCCTTCCTGTGATCCTGCCAACCAATTTAATTCAGTTTGCGACGCCTGACTAAAGCCTCTCTCTCTCTCTCTCTCTCCGACCCGTCCCCATCCTCCCTGCCTCTCCCCCACCCCTCACCACCACCACCCCTCACCACACCACCACAGCAACACCCCCTCACCACCAACACACCCCCACCACCACACACCACACAGCAACACCACCACCACACACCAGCACACCCCTCACAGCAACACCCCCACCACCACAGCACCACCACACAACACACCCCACCACCACAGCACCCCCCCACCACACAACACCCCCCCTCACCACCACAGCAACACCCCCTCACCACCACAGCAAGCAACACCCCCCACCACCACAGCAACACCCCCCCACCACAGCACACCACCCCCCACCACCACAGCAACACCCCCACCACCACAGCAACCCCCCCCCTCACCACCACAGCCACCTCACCACCACACCACCCCTCACCACCACAGCAACACCCCCTCACCACCACACACACCCCCACCTCACCACCACAGCAACACACCCCCTCACCACCACAGCAACACCCTCACCACCACAGCAACACACGTCACCACACAAATTCATTATCGGTCACATATTGAAACTTGGCGGGTCTTTTGTCGTCACTTCCCGTCCTTTACCTTCCTCGCCAAATTTTACCGATAACTTATTAGGGGTAAAAAATTCCCGGGACTTAAATATGGCGATGGATGATTGTCAGTTATTTCTCGTAAAACTTCGCGATATTTTATTTCGGCGAGGTACTAGTGTTGGTTATTTATATTAAAAATGCGCTGTATTTTATTTAGGCAAAACAAACACCAAAGGAAAAATTATTTAAACACTAATTTGGCGATGTGAAATAACTAAATTTATGTCCCGCAAACAGTCATCATATTCTATACAGATGACAAAAATAAGTGTGGTTAGGTTAGGTTAGGTTAGGTTAGGTTAGGTTAAGTTTAGGTTAGGTTAGGTTAAGTAAAGGTATAGTTAGGTTAAATCAAATCAAGCTCTTGATCTTGACCTTCAACTTGGGAAGCCCCGAATAAGAACCCCAGGCCCGGGATTCGAACCCTGATTCAACAAACATCATCTGAGTTTATTTACCAAGACGCCATTGTTGAGACGACCATAGAGGCAACAGTGTCATCACAGGAGCTTATAAAGGAGGAGAGGAGAGGAGAGGAGGAAGAGGAGAGGAGGAAGAGGAGAGGGAGGAGAGGAGGAAGAGGAGAGGAAAGACACAGAAGCTAGAAGGAAGAGCCTTAGTCACTGGCCTTAAGAAGAAGAAGAAGAAGAAGAATTAGAAGAAGAAGAAGAAGAAGAAGAAGAAGAAGAAGAAGAAGAAGAAGAAGAAGAAGAGTAAAGACTGATCAAGGAATCCAAACAAACCGTAAAGCAAAGTGACACAGTGAAGAAGAGTGACACCTACGAATGGGGAAGAGGGGCAGGGGAAGATAAACCTGCAGTGAAAGAGAGATAGAGAGGGGGAAAGATAATTCTATAATGAATAAGGAACTGGGGAAAGGGGGGATAAGCCTCATATGTATAAGGGAATAAAAAGGAAAGGGAGAGAGAGAGGATAATCTTTTAACGAATGAGGAATTAACAGAGGGAGTGATAATCCGTTAG